TTAATGTTTTTTATTTACTTGTAGCTACCCGTGTTAATAAGGCATGCATTGTGCTAGTTTTACAATAGTTACCTCTAATTTAGCTCCTATCTTTCTTCGTTTTTCTTCTCTTCTTTAGCAACTCTGGACCACCATTTTAGTTAGAAAACGCCTTCTAAACCACTTCCGTTTACACGTCCATTGTGATTAAACCACAAGTTTATATTACGTGTGGACACAATCTTAAACCAGTTACAATGCGCTTTACAATGAAGCGGTTTGTCGTGTAAACGGGGTTTAAATCTCATCACAAATCAGTCAGTAATTAGTAGTAAGTACCGTCAGTAATAATTACTGAGCATGCGCACTTGCGCAGTTGGCTGCATTAAAATGGCGTCCAACCACTTGGTGAATCAACTGTGTACTTGAAAATAACGACGAGAAATAATTTTGGAGAATCTAAATGCCAAGCCACACTGCACTAGCGTCCCTTAAGCGCAACAGAATGGTGCAAAAATTATTTTTCTAGGATAAAAACTGTAGGACTAGTTCTTACTTAACTGTGGAAGAAGAAGAAGAAGGAGAAACCTTAACATTTGGTGCATGCAGGCATTCATTGCCGTATTGCTATCTTTTGGAAGTTTTTAGCTACTTTCTATAAGACTAACCTGTTTCAATAAAACTATAAAGGAAGTCTTGATTGTCAGATAAGCTATAAAGAATTCCTGAAGATTTACACAGAATGCTTCTGGCATGGCAGCCATTTTGGGGGCGCGCTCGCCATTAACCCTACATACCAAGCGCTAGCGCTTGGTAATAGGTACAGCTGCTTATTAACAGCACATTTGAGAGAGGTAGAAAAAGGATGAGTGCTATGTGGGACATTAACATGCTATCGAGTCAAGCCGGCTGACTGACGGTAGGATCATTTTGTTCTCAAGGCTGAGTTGAGCCGTACTGAGCTTTTCAGTTTTGGTAATGTTGGTTGTTTTATCACTGCTGGATCTGATGTGATTAGTGAACCATTCGT